CTCTTTGAAGTTTTTGAAGATTTTGACGATACTGTTGCTTTCCCTGATGGCATACTCAGATGAGTCATGTGCCCAGACAAACTCCTGCGCTGAGCCGAAGCTCTTGTTCCTCAAAGCCATGGCAGTATAGATGATGTACTCTCCATCTCCACACACCACAACAAACCTGGTGCACAGAAAAATGCATAAATGACTGACAGATATCATGTTGAAAATTCACCTCTAATCTGGCTAACGAAGATGTTGACATGTTTGTGAAATAACAATAACCAGTCAGAGGGCCTGGGTGAGTGTATGCGTACCTTCCGTTGGGGTTATGCTGGATGGTTTGAGGGTAAATCTCACAGCTGCCCATGTCTTTGACAGCCAGAGGCAACCTCTCGCCGTCCTTGATCTCAGCATCACCCATGGCTTTAAGGTTAGCTTGCTGTACTTCACTGTGTTTAGCCCAGATTATTTTTCCGTTGGTGTCCATAGACATAGCTGGCTCCTCCCGACCCACCTACACAGCAGAGGGAGACAGATCACAAATATTTTAGGTTTGGATACAACTATAATATATTTAATCTGGATGTCTTTTACAGATAAACTCTCTTAAGCCACTTTCTCCACAAATATTTCCCCCCTTTTTTAGCAGTATTGTATATATAGTTAAGTTTATTTACAATCAAAGTACTTTTAACCCTCCGGTATCATTCGATTGGACTTCGCAAATTAGTCATTCGAGACAAAAATGTCCACTGTGATACCGGAGGGTTAAAAATAACTATCTCTTCCGTTCACCTTGATGATGATGCTGCCTTCATCGTAGCCCAGTGCCACATTGTTGGAGCCCCTGAGGCCGCACACACACCACACTCTCTCCATGCCATAGTTGAGAGTGCTCTCCAGGCGGTAAGTGCTTGAGTGCCAGATGCGAACGGTACCTACAGAGGAAAGAGGTAAAGTAGCATAAAGTAATGATCCATGAGGCCACTGGGTGAAATGCATTCTTGAGGTTTTTTTTCCTATCGAGGTGAGGATGAGTATGTTTCCTCCTCACCGTCCTCTGATCCAGTGATGATGATGGGCAGCTCGGGGTGGAAGCTGACACAAGAGACGTTCTGGGCGTGGCCCTCCAGAGTCTGAACACAGGTCTTGTTCTGCAACATACAGAGGAAGACTGTTAAAGAGGTACAAACACAATGCCACAGGATGCTCATAGGAAGGACAGAGCAGAATAATGAGGAAAAACGACATGCTTTAAAGAACAATCAACTATTTGAGTAAGCTTTAATTGTTTGTAAAGCTATGTATTTAACACATGTAATACAAGACAGCAGGAAATTAACCTGTTCTTATAATATTAGATTGGATTCAACATATTTAATTGCACTGTTTACTATTTATAATATACTAGAATGTGAAATCAAAATGAAGGTGTATTAATACACTAGATATATAGCAGTGAACAAAATAAGGAAAACATTTTCTAACCTGGTAGTCCCAGATCTTTACTTGGCGGTCATCAGCCCCTGAGATGAGGTAAGGCTTGTCTCCTCCACTGTAATAGTCAATACAATTGACTCCTTTCTCGTGACCCTCCAGGGTGAAGTTAGGAGACGAAGAGCCTAGCTGCCAAACCTTAAAAAACCCAGAGGAACCAGAATCACTCGATGCACCTTAGACACAGGCCTTTAAATATATGTTTATTTAAAAAGGCAAGGATGTTCCTAAAGTATTGTCATTAAAAAAGTTGCAGGACCGCAGTAGAATCTGCAGTACTAACCCAACAACAAGATACATTTAGCAGCAGTAAATGTGACAACAGCAAGTGGCCCTACTTTAATGGTCCTGTCCAGAGAGGCGCTGGCAAACTGGTTGTTGTCCTTGGGGTTGATGACAATCTGCATGACATAGTGAGTGTGCCCCTCAAACACCTGGCTGCAAGACCACTTCTTCTCCCAGTCCCATAGCTTGATCAACATGTCATCTGCAAAGAAATAGAAAATACATTCATGATGTTTTGCACACAATGCAAATACAATTGAAGACCTTAGTGTTCAAATGCCTTTAAGTGTATCAATGTACTTAGTTTACAAGCGTACCACTGCTGGTGAGGATATAGGGCTGGGTCGGATGGACAGCAATGCAACGGATGTAGTCAGAGTGGGCCTCAAACATGTGGACACGCTCCAGGGTGTTGTAGTTGAACACTCGAATCTGCATGTCATCCTGCGCGGGGAGAAAAAAAACATTGAATCATAGCAGTATACGCAGTGCAAGTTCATAAAAAGATTATATACAAAAGACCAAAATATATGTTCTAACAAATGCAATTGGTGTATGCTGTTGTATAGTAGGGTATCTGTATATTCCAACTGTGACACACACACAATTAAATATATGTAAAGCTTTACTGTTAAGATGTTGCACATGCCCACATAAAAAAAAGACACGTAAACAACACTAAATTAAACCTCTGCGAGATAATACTGTCAGGTTTATACAAATATGCTGTTGTTATAGACGACAGCTGTGAGAGTTGGGAAAACAAACAATGGATGTAACTCACTGCTCCTGTGATGACCCAGTGCTTCCTTGCCACAAACTTAGAAGCTCGGACAGGGAGGTCACATACTTCAAACGTCTTGACAAGAGTCTGGGGGAAAAGAAAATTACTGAATTGGGTTGCATCATCATCATCGTCATCATCATCATTATCATCATAATGCCCTTGTGTGTATTTTAAGTCAGTATATTACTATAAAATGACATATTTATGCAGTTTGGTTGTATAGTCATTACTGTTTCTATACTGTGTTACTGATCATACCTGTGTTTCGTGGTTCCACACACAGACACTGCCGTTGTACAGACTGGCCAGCATCCATGGCTCAGTTGGGTGAAGGTCCACACTTTTCACCCTGTCTGACCTGGCTGTCAGCCTCCGCTTAATATCCAGCCGCAGAGGCTGAAAAAAAACATAGGAGATTGGTGTCTTTTCTATGCCGTTTATACACAACACTTCATGGGCATTTCATTATCTTTTAAAAACTCCTCAGCGTTCGAGAAAACACCAAGAATTAAAGGTAACGTAATAAAGCCAACGTAACCGTTAGCATGCTAACATAACATTTAGCCTCGTATATTGTAATGCTAGCAACATTTTTTAACGTATGCATCATGTAGGAGTTCTTTCGACAACTGATTTAAATTAACTGTTAACAAAAAATAAATCTTCCAAACAGCCATCATCCTAAATATTAACATCCGTTAGCTACAAGCTTTCAGGCTAACTCAAGCTAGTTAGCCGTTAAGCTATTTACAATAGTGCATTATTATTTGACAGTTTCACGGTCCTTTTAAAAACTATACCAGGACCCGTGGAAGACCTGTATGAAACAACAACATGCTGGTAACTATTTTAAATATCTCTTACCATGTTTTATCCCCTTTGTGTCACAATAAAATAAGATAAATTAGTTGAAAACGGGGTCCAAATGTTGCGACTTCAGTGAACGGAGCACTGGATACTGACGTGGAACTTCCTGAATCTCAATCTCGCGTGAGTTGCGCTCTGGAAGTGGTGACGTGACATGAAGTTCTGCTGGTGCAGCTGACACCACACGGTCCATTAACGTCCACAAATTAATAATAAAGTGAGAATAAACGTGCCCTACTTCGAAGAGATTCTGGGTCTTTTCCACATTTCACAACATATTGCTATCCGATTTTTAACTAGGATATTGTATACTGGTAGAATGTATCGATGCTTCACTTGTTACTACTTTATCGTGAATAAGGTTAAAAATATAAATGTACACCCTCCCTCCTCCCACCTAATTTCATATTAACAGAGTTGTAGTGTCTGATGCTTAGATCTCTGTTTTTTGTTATATTATTATATATATATATATATATATATATAGCATTTTTTATTCATTGGGATAAACCCCTTGAGATGCACCATCTCGTTTTCAAGGGGGTCCCGACAATAGCAACAACTTACAGACATACATAAACAAAAAGACAAAATGCAAAACATGACACACAAGACAAACCACATACAGTCTGTTAAGTGAAATTCAAGCAATGCACACAATCATTACAATTTGAGACAGTCGAGCAAATCAGTTTCATCAATATCAGTTAATAACAAGTACAGACCAGTTGAAAGTGAGATAACAATGCATGTTTAAATATACCCAATATTGCAAGAGATCTAATAGCAGCAGGTAAAGTATTCCAGTCTGTTGGGGCTTTGAAAATGAACGCTCTTCTGCCAATCCATTTTTTAGCAGAGGGGACAGAGAAATAAATCTGAACAGAATGTCTAACTTGATGATTTGGTGAGTAGGGTACAAAATACTGCTTTAAATAAGGGGGATAGTTAAGATAAATGCATTTAAATATCAGCTGAAGCCAATGCGTGTGTCTTCTTACATTTAAAGAAGGCCATTTAAGTTGGTTATACATTGTGCAGTGATGTGTACGAAAAGGACAACCAAGAACAAATCTGCATAGTCTGTTGTAGGCTATGTTGAGTGGAGCAAGATCTGATTTATGTGCATTTTGGTAGACAACATCACAATAGTAATATTATTAGATGTCTTCTTAAAGGATACCACAATTTTTTCCCCAGCAGATGGCGATATAAGCATTTGGTTTTAAAAGGCCCTGGAGGATGTGTTTTATAAAATGTGTAAAACAGTGTTAATATTATAACCCTTCTTAAAGTGAGCTTATTAGTCTTTTGTGCAGGATGTGACTGCACTGCATGCTGTTACATTCCCTAAAGAAGATGTGTTTTAGGTTGTTATAGTTATTATCAAGTGTTGTACAGGGAACAAAAAGATGTGTTAATACACTTTCAGCCACCTTATGTAAGGTGAAATGTTCACTCTCTTCCTTAAAAAAGAAGCGCTACATAATCTGATGTAAGACCCATTGTAAACATCTAAACTCATTATAAAATCAGGTTTGTCTCTATTAATACACAACACGTCATGTCTGAAAAGCACTTTATTCATTTTGTTCATACGTTTGGGAAAACATGTTATTGAGGAGTATGTGCAAATACAAAAAACCCAGATATTTCCGTTTATGCTTTTCTCTTGAACACCTGCACACAAACTACATCTTCACACGTCAGCTCCTGTGGGAGGAAAGAAGGATAATTAGAGAAAAATGAGAGCAATAACAGTGTCCTCATCATACTCAATAATCACATTCTGCTGTGCAATACATCCTACTAATCCAACATATTTCTCTTTTATTCATCATCAGGGCGTGTTCTGGTTCAAATAATTCAGCAGAAATCTAATTATCATGACAGATACTGTCAACCCACCAGGAAGAGTTTGTCTCCTTCGATCCAGTGTTTCCAGCCACGGTTAGCCTTCTCTCCTTTCTGCGTGCACACCAGCTTGTCCCCCTCCCAGGTCACAAGACACTACAAGAAGTCACAAAGTGTATTTATTAAATACTTTAATTTAATATTTAATGCACATTCAAAAGTAAATAACAGTGTAGTAAAAAATTCCCCCGTCACTAAAATAAATCCTCTTTGAATTCCGTCACTACCTTTACCACAAACATGCTCAATGTTCTGATTTAAAGGTTACTGCCACCTTATTTTGGCATATGTATTAAATGTTTCAGTTGCTATGTCTTTATGTAGACTTATAAGTGAACATTGTTACTATTAAGCTGATAATGTCTCAAAATAGTAGGATACTATCAACAAATAACCTTAATTCATTATTAGTTATTTTACTCGCCTCTAAAATGTGATGCTTTCTCTTTAAAGTTATTTCACAAGTCTTATTACATTTAATTTAGCTCTTTAAACAACATCTTCTTCTTACTTGCAGCTTGATAATCAATACAAATATGCCTGCAAGTAACTGAAGCACCATTAGCACTCCATTTTGTGGAACAAAGCTATTGGATGTCATAATGAGAGCCCCCCCTCTCTTTCCTTGACTTGATAATACACACAGAGACCAACCATTGCCCTGCAAACACTTACATAACATGTTCTCACTATCTGAAAGGCAACCAGGCAATATGAAAAACATCGACTCATCAGATAAACTATCACTGACTTTTTTTTCACTTCAAGGACTCCGTATCTGAGAGGTCAACCCACCTTGATGTTACGGTTGTCTAGTCCCTTGGTGTGCTCGTCAAACTCTACCCCTACAGTGAAGGAGAGTTCATAATTCCTGAAGGTGCTCAGCGTTTTGACGGTAAACTTGTCTTCATCTTGGGATATAACTTTGGTCTGAGACAGGGAGATGGCAATTTTCCTTGTAGCAAAGTCAATGTCTGGAGCCAGAATACAGAGAGTGAATTAAAACATCTTTCCAGAGGAGACAGATTATAGTAGTGCATACATTATATTTTACAGGGATGCAATATTGAGAGCATTTTAGCAGTTGACATCATACAAGTATTTACATAAGAATCTGGGGTGAAATAACCTTATAATAAATGTTTTGCATTAGACACAGAATACATTGAACTGTACAAAAAAAACTATATTTACAGATGAATGGGAGTGGATACATATGTCTCTTCCGCTGCTCAAGCAGTAACATCACTTAACACATCACTAAGACATCCCAGACCTAAATTAAACATTTCTTACCCAACACTTTCAAATACTCCTCAAATATGTCATTGCTCTCCAGTATCCATTTCCCACTGAAGTCTGCAGGCATGATGGCAGCTGGTGACGCTGATGTCTGTGTGTGTAGACTTTAGACAGTGTATAGAGGGGAAAGGTGCAGGGTGTCCTCCTGCTTTTATACAATCAGGGGGAATGAGGGCAGATAACTATTGATAAGTGGGTTTATGGCTTGAACAGGATTGGCAGTGGTAGTTGTTTTTGGAGCGGGAGGGGGGGGACTCACCCTTCTCTTCCCGTCTTTACATGGTCACTGGGGGGGCTTGCGATAGGCATTTATGTGGGTGCGCACACACACACACACACACACACACACACACACACACACACACACACACACACACACACACACACACACACACACACACACACACACACACAGAAAGCTTTCTCTCACATGCACCTTTACACACGTACACATGCAGACACTGCCCTGATGTTTCAGTGTACAATGTACAGACGGAGAAGTTTTTTGGTAACATCTGCCAACAGTGTGCACTCTTTATTTGTTCTTTTCTGTGTCATGTACAAATGCTGATCCAGAATACCTAGAAATGTGACCAAAGAGGTAACTGGAGTTCAACTAGTTTAGAAAAAAGTCAAGCATTTGTGACTCATGTGAAATAATTCAATGAATGCATTGATTTTTGAATAATAATTTCTTTCTGTTATGTTTTTTTTTAAAGTTTAAAGTTATAATCCTTGTGATTTTCATCATATCAAACTCAAATTTTGATACAATTTATGTTGGCAAATAAACTGATCGGCATTAAATGGTCACACACTCACTATATAACTTTATATATGGTACCATGCATTGTCAGTGCTGCAACCCCTAATATATTCACAGAAATATACCCAGTTACCACAGGTGTCACTAAATCAACCAGGACTAAAGTCTTTAATTAAACCACTGGAGTGGACACACGACTTCACCATCCATTCTCTTGGTACAATATGATATGATATATGTGTCCATATAAGAATGATTTGTTTTGCAAGTTTGTTGTGAGTTCACATAATCATGTTTGGTCCTAAACTGTAAAAAGCTAAACACCATATTAAAGGTGAGTGTTAGAGAAAATACTGTTGTCTCCTTTTTGGGTTTGTTTTAATGCACTGATATCATGTGTGAGTCTGAACTGTGTACGACCTTGCAGCTGCCTCTTCTTGTGATAGGAGGAGGCAGGGCATTTCAGGTTGTTGATCTTTATGAGGAGACAGACACATACTTGTTGTCTCCTACATATCTAATTTCTATGAGGCGTGAAGGAAGTCCAGAAGACGCCACAGATGACCCATCACAGATGCTTTTCCGACACCCGCTGCTGATATTAGCGCCACCTCGATTTACGACTTTGTTGTTATCTCCTGTATTTTGGACTATATAAGCCTGATGTTTTTCCTGCTCCGTTGAGCAACATACCCCATGTGTGTGAGTTAAACAATATCCTTATGTGATTTAACTCTGCTCATTCTTGCAAGAATAAATTAGTACCTGATTATTGATTCTCAACCTGGTGTCGAGTGATATTTTCCTAACAGTGACCACGGTTAAGCTTTCAGCAGATTAATGTCAAAACTGTTTCACAGTGTAAAGTTCTGCACTTACATCATTCTGCAAAGTGAAGGTTAAACAGCCAAAAGAAACACATTTTCTAGCATATATGTGGAACTTTAAAATTGAGTATGGCTTGAAATCCTCTCCTGTCTGTTGATTGCTGATCAAAATATGAGTTGAGTAACTGACCTTCCTCCAGACCAGAGTTGCACTCAGTAGAAATGTTTTAATGAGAACAAATGCAAATGGTGATTTCAGCCTGGCGCCAGACTCTGTTTGGGCCACCTCCCTGAGACCATAATTTTTTTTAACCAGCCATAGCCAGAGCAGGGAGAGATCAATAACAGCCCCCTGTGGAACCATACATAATCAGAGCCTGCAGGTAGATGCAGGGATTGGCAGGTTGTGAATGCACAAAAAGCGGCAGGACGCTGAACCGTAGAGCGAGCAGCAGCAGCAAAGAATGAGCAAGTAAGTTGGACAGCTGACTGCCCAATTGCTAATGGCAATGCACAGAGAGTGAGTTGACAGATTAGCTGATTCAGAGCACAGCGGGGCTCGAGTTGTCTGGCCACAGCTCCGCGGGCTTCACTTCACTCACCGAAACTCTCAAGCAGAGGCCATAATAGACCTTGTGCAAGTCTGTAAAAGCATTTTTAGATAAAAAGAGCTACCACAGCTGATGTGTTGGCCTGAGAAACTTGGATTAATGATAAGCAATCATTTATATGTTGTATGACTGAACTACCAAACGAATACATTCCAAATCCAACAAGTCTAATTAAAAAAATAAATGGCAGTGGCTCTCAGACAAACACAACTGACATAATTAAGCATTGTTTACTTTATTGATTGATTCATTTTACTATATTGGCACACTCCCAAAGGAACTGGGAGGGATAAATACACATCATTATATATATATATATCCATTCTGGAGACTAAGCATCAGTAGTGAAGAAGTTTACAGCCCTCAAACACACTCAGACTTGTATTTTTTGACATCCAAAGCAATTTTTAAGGGAACTAAAATGGGATTAACCCACGCTCTCTTGTCTTCAATGCCATCCATCACTTTAGGTCATTTCAGATTAGTTTCACCTCCAGTAGCAATATGCATGCAGCCAACGCTTCTAAACTGTTAATCAAAAGAGCTCCCACCCTGAGACAGATATAGAGTATTGCATGTTGTGATGATACATGATATATAATGCCCCTGCCCCTCTGAATTTGCTTTGGAAAAGTAGTTATGATGGAATATAGCTGTGTGTTTCATGACATTTTCAATACAGGAAAACAAATGGATGGACATTATGGAGAGATGTAGGATTGGATGTCAGAGGCATGGGATGTTTCTGGTGTGTCTGTTTAGGCCCATGTCAACCGGGGGCGCCATCCTGTTCAGTTAGGACTTCTTGAACACCTGCTGGCTAACAACTCCACCGGCTCTCAGCTCCTGCAGGTAACAACAGACAATACATTTGTTTTAAATATTTTTAGATCTGACTCAGAATGTAATATTGACTAATGAAAATGACCAGGAGAATTATAGATCTTAATCCCTACTGTCTTCTGTATTTCTTACAATCACAGACAAACATTTGACTAACATAGCAACATTAAATAGATGGTAGGTTCTGAGGATATGTTAATTGTTAGTATATTATTCAAGAGGTCATTCACAGTTCAGTATTCAGTTTAATTAATGGGGGTTTTAAAGGGCAGCAACAGTTTGATAGAATACATTCTACCATCCAAATTGCAAAGAGTTTTCTGCCACTGGAGGCCACTGTTGCACAACATTCATAACCCTCTGGCAGCTCTAGGAAACCTCCAACTAATATCTAATTTCATGCCAGCGGATTGAAAACATCTGTTGGCATAGTTTATACCAGATCATTTGGCAGATCATTTTTTGCCTAGCTTTGATAGCAGTAATCACACAGAGGGTAATCTGATAATGCTGAGCTAATGAAAATGGTAATGTGCAAGCCATTACTTTAAAGTCTTTTCAGATGCTAATGCTTTCATTACATGCCTCTCTGTGAATTTAGGAGGAGAGAAAGTTATTGAAGTTCTTCTAACAGAAATTAGATGGGAAAGTCGAGATAATAACGTGGCTGTTATGTGCTTGATCACTGGAACGCTTAAGAATTAGAATATACAAGTGTGTTTTTCCTCTTAAAACAGTTACTTTAGGGGTAAACATATATGATTGAATTGGCAGTAAATTAGTATCATACACATGCAGTTCACACAGTAAATTGCACTGCTGGAGCTTGTGGGCTAATTCAAGAGTCACACATTATAATAAATGCACCGCACATACTGTGCTAAAAGGCATTTTGGATTTGGATTAAAGTGTCCAAATTGCATAAATTATTATTCATGGCAGAAGCTGATGTTTTCTTACCAGATGAAGCTCATCTCCATCCACCCAGTGGGTCCAGCCTCTCCCTTCTATCTCTCCCTTCTGCACACACACCAGCTTGTCTCCATCCCAAGAGATGGTGGTCTGCATGAGGCCAGGAGGTAAATGGGATTATAGCACATCATGCACTAGTGTAGATGTTTTTCAAATCAATGTAGATGCATGCACATATAGAGGTGCTAAACATTTCCCCATAAATAATGATTCCGATAGAATCTGCAAATACAGACACACATTACCCTTTTCTCTCAGCCACCCTCCAAACAGCTTTTCTATAATCAGCATATAAAAAAGCTTTTCAAGGGGGACCCCAGATAATCTTTGATCCTATTCAGTATTCAGGGACATAATCTGATTAAAAGAACTTGAGTCTCTACTTATTTCTCTCTCACTTTCTTTTCCTGCGGTATCTGACACCGGTCTCACAGCAGTTCATTCACATTGAGTGTGAGAAGTTTAAAGAACGTTTTGTAAGTAGACGGGTTTTTGTATACAGTCTCACTACACCATATGCTCATTAAAGTCTGGAGGTGTGCCAAACAGAACTGTTAGTTTATATGCACGTAGGATTTGCACTAAGACGAAATCGGAAAGGTTCAATAGGTTTCTCAAAAGTGTGATACAGCACATTAATTAACATTTATAATAAACCCCTTCTGGTTTCATTGTCTACACATTTTCACCATGCATTTCCTGTCATCCACTCCAGACAGATCCTCCTCAAACTCCTTGCCCACATGGAAGTCCATGTTGTAGTTTTTGAATGTGCTAAGGGTTTTGATGACTATGTGGTCCCCATCGTGGGAAATGTCCTTATCAGGCTTCAACAAGGTGGCGATTTTCCTGACGGCAACATTTACATCTGCAACAGGTTCCAGAGAAGGGCGAGAAAATCAGTCAGAAACATGAGAAACTCTCTGTTTTAATAGACTAATACAGTTCAAAACACACACTTATTTCCTTAAGACATACTTTTTATTCAGTTATGGTAATTTGGTCCATTTCTGTTGAGTTGTATTTTTTTAATAAACAATGATTTTGTATTCTATAGTTTTTATATAAAAGTAATTGGAAGATATTAAGTATGTCAACAAATGTGGATTTCTCTCAATGTACTACACCTTGCAATAGCTGCAATCTCGCTTAACTAAAGTTGAAATAGTAGTATTTATAGGTTTACAATAACTACTTTACTATTAAAAGCTCCAGTGATGAAACATTTCCCCCCTTGCCTCTCTCTTTACTAGGCCTGTCCTCCACTCTCCCCTGCTGCAAACTCACCAAGAGCCTTCAGGTAGTCCTCGAAGTTATCGCTGGAAATCATTTTCCAATATCCGTTCAAATCGACTGGCATGTTGGCGGTTGCTGCTCTCTTTACTCCCAGTGAATGATGAAGATGTCTGCTGTGGACAGCTACTTGCTCCAGAGTGCAGAACCTGCTGTCAAAAGCCTCAATTTGAACCAAATTCACTTGAATCCGATTACCTCCCACTCCCCCTCCAACATGCATACAGAATGTGGAGTAGCTTTATGTTAGAGAGTGCTTACTTTGGGATTAGGATGAATACACTTCCTTTATTAATTGACACAAGCGCACTTATAGGGATTTCCACGTGTGGCAGCTTTGGCATAGTTCTGTTGTATAAGATTAGTAATATCTTAAAATCAATCAGAGTAATAATCAACATACAGGTCAAAACACAATCAGCCTAATGGAGTGAAATCATACAAAGTTCTATTACGTATCAGCAAGTGGATGTAAAGCACACAGTGTGAATAATATGCAGCGAAATACAAAAGCAGAACCACCTGAGCTTAAAAGGATCCAACTGAAACAATGAAATGTAGCACAATAGGGACTGTCACCACTTTTGTTTCGCCTAAATAACTCAATTAATTTGATAATCTCTTTTAAAAGGCTCGCTGCAGCAAACAAACTGTCTAAATCCTTTGCTGACTGGGACACAGACAAAGACACACACAAAGACACACCACCGCTCAAAGGATGCCAGTCAGTATCAGTCACAGTGGCGCTTTCAGCCACTGGCCTCAATGAAAAAATACCTTCTGTAGCTGAGCAACTGTCAGGATTACTTTAAATCGTTTGGTGGAAGAAAAAAAAAAACAGGCTCACAGACGCAGTGTGTGGAGGATAATTGGGGAACTGAATAGCTCCACAATAAATTGCTGTTTGGAGGCTGCTGCAGAGTAGAAACACTAACAATGATCTTTATATGTGAGCAAATTTAAAACAGTATCTATTGTTCAATTAAAAACTTACACATGGGGCGCTTTGGTAGCCTTGGGATTAAGATGCACACAATCTAATATACATAAAATATACACAACACACACTCTGCATTTCAAAAGCAGATCCTTAGGTTTTCAGATATAAGGCCCAAATAATGTTTACATAAATATAAGTATTTCTCCAGGATAATCACACATTTATGAAACAAAATTCACACCCTTGTGTCAGTTTTAAAAACAACTTTGACACATTTAAATGGATTTTGCACCTTGAACTATATTCCACAACCATTGTCTATTGTGAAATGATTTCCCATTTTTGATGCTTTTAAGAAAAGAAGGAACATCAATTGTTTGTTCTTGTGAACTGTTTAAATAACGGTTTATAATTGTATCTCTAAAAGGGTCGGATAAGTTTTATTTTTATACATATATTAGGTATTTGGGTTGTTAGGGGGATGTGGACTCATTACCTTAGTATGTCTTAAATGCTGCGAGCTGCAACGGAAAAAAAACAGTCAGACTTAAATAATTTAAATATATTTTATTTAAATGTATCCAACTCTGCAATGGTGTGATATGTAAAACTACAAGTACACTACAAAAACTACAAATGTTTATGTATTGGCAACACTCCAAGTGTATGATTGAAAACACACCACAGCACTGTGAAAATGTTCTTACTAACAACAAGTGATGCCTGGAAAAACACATTTGGGCCATGGTGTGTCTCTTAGCAGGATGTGCAGAGCTCTATCACTCTGCAGTCCAGTGGAAGTTAGCCGACCGTCCAGTCCCTGAAGAGAAGCACTGATCTGTGAGTGAGTTCACACTTCAAGGCCTTCATGCTCAGCTATCAGTCATCCAGACTCTTCCCTGGCTGTGTTGCTTGTTTGGCGAGCGGCCTCAGCACTGTGCCCTTATTTCTCCTCTCGCTGTCCTCCGTGTAGAGGTTGTGCTGGTGAATATATTCTATCACAGAGTCTGGGATCAAGTATTTCACGCTCAGGCCCCGTCTCAGAGCCCGGCGGACCTCAGTGGCGCTCGTCTCGTTTCTCACCCATTCCCTCACCAGGAAAATGTTATGACTGTGGCGCGAGAGTGTGTCTGACGCGGCCACGGCTTGCTCGGGATGAAGCCCCCCCCGACTGACGCAGATGAGTCCGAAATGTCCCGCCACCTCTTCAACGTGGTCGTCCAGCCACAGGTCAGGGACCTGGAAAGTGTCGAGGAAATCAGCTCCACACAGGAGCTTCAACTGGGGACAGGGGCCTGAAGGGAGAGGGCGGAGAAATGGTGACTGATATTTATCATAAAAATACAATTATAAAACATAGCATGGAATAAAGTTCAGGAAAAAAAGTTGATACGCAATGAGGGGCCAAAGGTACTTCTCGAATATATATATATATATATATATATATATAAGTTTGCCAACTTCACAATGAAACTGCAAAAGTTGGCAATCCTATAATTCTCCTCAAAGGGATCTCAAACTGGAATAATTAGTGATTTCAATATCAAGGAAAAAGTTGTATTTGAGTCTTGACTTGACATGACTAGATCTGATTAACTAGTTTTAAAGAAATACATTACTTAAATATCTATGGGGCTGAAGGCTAAAGCTAAACATGTGGATTGGTGGCTTTTGATTAGAAGACAAAACTAAAATCATAATATTTTTTGATAGATGTTTTCATCGTTGTTTAGTTGTTGGCTGTGTTCATCCTCTGGGGAGCATGATATATGTATTCAATTTCATGGGAAATTATGAAATACGTTTACATTTACTCTGACCAAAATGGTGAACCAATCAAACATTGCCATCTCAATAATAAGAATAATTCACACCCGACGCCACAGTTTAAAACCAGATATATAATGCCGGAAACCGACAGAGGTCAAAGGGTTTCTGAGCTGATCCTAAATTCACAACAGTGAGAGGTTCTTACTCGAGAGGGGAGAGGGGTTTCCACTGGAGTCTTTGTTCTCTCCTGTGCTCCGCTCATACTCCTTCAAGATACGGCCATAATGATTCCTGCATGACAAGCAAAGATTACGATTAATGTCTTTGGTAATGGTAATACATCGATTTTCCTTACTAATATTGAGTATTTATTTCTTCATCTTGTCACCAGTAGCTAGTCAAGTATTAAAACATAATTTGCCTTATTCTTTTCATTAATGGACAACATTTTAATATAAACATCATGCATAGAAATCTTTATCAAACTGAACTGAATAATTAAAGGGAAAAAGTTGATGCTTGACAGAGGAACTTTTAAAAATAGAAATAAAACCATTTTTCAAGTTAAGCCTCTTAAAGGTGTTCTAGAAGGTCTGTGTGTGTGTGTGTGTGTGTGTGTGTGTGTGTGTGTGTGTGTGTGTGTGTGTGTGTGTGTGTGTGTGTGTGTGTGTGTGTGTGTGTGTGTGTGTGTGTGTGTGTGTGTGTGTGTGTCAGGACTTGTGACATGGATAACAACAGGCCACTTCATGGCTTGATCAGCACCCTTGTTGCGCAAACACTCATGACAGGATTTGTAAGAAATCCGAAGCAGGAGGGAGGGAGAATTAATAAAGCGGAAGAAGTACAATGAGTGTGTCAGAGACCTTTCTAAAAATAAGCCTGAATAATGATTACGTTTGTGCAGTAATACAGACTAAGGTAAAACAAATCCATTACATCATTCATTCTCTTTCAGAGCTGCAACGGTTAGTTGACTTGGGAGAAAAAAATAATGGCACACTTTTTTGATAATCATTAAAGGGCATTTTTATGCAGAAAATGCTGTTTTCAGCCTTTCATGTTCTGCTTGTCTGTTTAATATATACATCTGAATGTCTTATTGGGTTTGGACTGACAAAACAATACATTTTAAGAAATCCTCTTGGACTTTGAGTAACTTGGATGGCCTTATTTCACTTTATTATGACATTTCTTAGATTTAATCGATTAATCTAGGAAATAATCTGCAGATTAATCGATATTGAAAATAATCAATAGCTGCAGCCCTATTCGCTTGGGCTGGATTCTTGAAAAAGAACCAGCTGCAAATACCTTCCACATTCCTGCATAGTAAACTGGGACATGCCTTATTCATAGCATCTATGCCTGTCTCTTTTCGCACATACTCATGTCCAAAGTAGCCATTTGCAATTACAGCATCCCATCTCTGCCAGTGAATTTAACAGCAGGTGCCCCTTATTTCACCTCATGAAAAACAGTCTAGTCTGGCAGGCCTACAAGAGACCAGAACCTGGCAACACACTGCTGTATATGTAGTTAAGGTTGGCAAGGAGCAGGGCGAGCGGAGGAGCAACTCTGTTAACTCTGCTGGTGCTGTGCTGAAACTTGATGATGTCAGCAAAGACAACTACAACAGAGGTAACAGATGAGAGTAAAGCTAATAGAAGCAATTATCAGCTACTGGGTGGTGGATATAAACTGGAAATAAGATGTTCTTGGTTCTGTCAACACAAAAACACAGTACGGGACACTTGTTTTATTATTAATGAAAGGTCTTAATGTGTTGACTAGCTGCACACACCATTTCATCTTAAAATGACATGCAGGCTGACATTATCCTACAAATGTGTGCATGTAACCTTTAATAAATGAAGCGAAGTGAACTCTAATGTTGCTATAAACTTGTTTTACACCTCATGGTGACCACGGTCTCTGTCCAGTCTGCCTGCTGGCTCTCCCATTCATCAACCGTGACCCAGTCGGAGCTCTGCAGCGCCAGCTTTGCCATGGCGATACGGTGCTGAGCCAGAACCAGGCCTTGCTTTCCGTAGCCATCACTGACTGGAGACACGATGCCACCCACCACCTGGTACTGGCCTGAAGGGAGAGAGGAAGATGAATACAGTGTTATCTGGACCATGAAAGTCGATACAGACCCAGCATATAAATCAGTAGACAAAGACCTGTGAGATACATGCTATGATTGATGCATTTAAAACAGGGTTATCGAACAATGTCATTACTTACAGCTCGTACTGTGTAATCGATTTGAAACTCCTTTAACCATTGAGTTGTCTTAAGGGTAAATAACCCCAATGATATTTTGTAACTAACATTACAGAAAATAAAAATTGAAAGCTGTACACCAGGGTTAGGGTTATTTTTGACACGGCAATTCCCAATGTTGGAATAGATTCAAAAGATTTGTTTTGTACAAAATTATCTTTTATACTTTCTATTTATTGGTGATGTTTATACACCTTGCAGGTGGAGACTAGTATTGTATGGTTAAAAAGCGAATTGATAGGAAAAGTTAAACAATACTTAATTCATAACAATATACGTTCTCTTGTTCCCCAAAAGAACAAGGACTCTTGTTGTTTCCCTTTACTTTTCCTAAACTGTGAAAAGGGAAAAACCAGCTATTACCAAAGTGGGCCATAAATGACAGGTTGTTTCTTCATGCTACATAGATTTAGGGTTTTACATTGAATTAAGCTGCTTTATTTCAGGTATTTAGCAGAGGTCTACCATTTCTGACCCTTTGATCAAAAATAAGTATACATATGTTACATGTTTGGACAACCCAAGCGGAAATGAGTAAAAGTATCAAAATGCAATGGGGAATAGAGAAGCTAATTGTGTTAAATCTAGTGTTTATAAAAAACATGTTTCAAAAACAGATGTTTTTGCACCTGCATCACAAGAACAGTACTTTTCCTATTGTTACACTCAAACTAGTCAGCTGATCTTATAGGTGAGGGGTCAGAGGGAAATGGTAAGAGCATTATTCTCAGTTCCTGCCCACTGCAATGCTACACAGTGCATAGTTACACAAAGCATCTTAAGAGTGGGAGCCGACTCAGGACCAGTGTATTACTGTTCAGGTATAATGATGTCGTTGTGACCATGTGGGTACTCTTATTCAGAGCAGCTTTGGACCTGGGTTTATATAAAGGAGACTGTGTTTGCTGACATCATTGTTACATTGTCCAGTGAAACGTGGGCCCTGCAGCATCATAAAAATGACTTATAACTAGTTCTATATATATATATATAAATATTATTATTCATACTTGATTCAAACACAAATATGTTGGGTGTTTAAAGCTGCACAACAAGCTGAAAAACAAAGCCCTGTCATTGCCCTATATACCTAATGTGCTAGCAAATAACCTACTTTCACATAAGGAAGGCAAAGAGCAAGATTAACATTCCTTTAGAGTTTGTTTATGGCAAATTTAATCTCTCTTGAGCTTTCAGATTTAACCAACTCCTGAGACAAACTCTGCATTTTTAGCTTTCTTATCCCGCTACTGTCTTAGTGTCTGACTTTGTATATCTGGTGCTTATTTAGACCACTCAGACAGAAGGTTTATCTGGGCTTGTTAGCTGAAAACAGCTGCCTGCTGCTGCTGCTGCTGCTGCTGGAAGCAAGGCTGATGAAAGTGAGGACACTGAACCAAACAGTACATTTGCAGGCCATAAAATAAAAATAATGATGTGACTCTAAAAAAAACTCTGTGGAGCTGTTGGCTCATAATCCTGTGTTAGTTCATTACTGCGAGCAACCTCTTTTACAATACACACAGTCATTTGATTTATTGTAAACATAAAGAATATTAATTGGTGGACATTACCCAGAAGCTCCTTTGTCCCTGAGGGTTTTCAGATACAAAAAGTAAAATAAACCAGACTATATAAAACCATACCTGTGCTGTGCATGTGGTCTCTGGCCAGCTCAAACAGCCTCATGTGCTGGTTGGTGATGGGATTAAAGGAGCCGCAGGCTAGCAGGACCAGTGGAATACGGCGGGTGGCCATCTTGGTTTACCCCCCTCACACAACAGTCATCAAACCTTGGCTGGAAGAAGAAGAAAGAGTTATTAACATTGAGGGATTAAGACGATGAGATGCAAAGGGGAGAAGACTGAAGGAAGCTAGCATGAGTTTGTGTTCTGTAGACCAGGGGTTCCCAACCTTTTTTCCCAAGAGCCCCCCCAAATGACTTCTGTTGGAAGTTGCGCCCCCCCCCAGCGTTAATTAAAGTTTAAAGTCTCAAAAATGCTACAACCACTGTCACAAACTGGATGAATGTGAAGTATTTTGTTAAAGGAGGATGAAAGCGTAATTAAGGAGCACTATGATGGTTATTGGACTCAGGATTAATTCATTTGGATTCCCGCTGTATGAAGAAATTAAAGGACGGCGCGGAAGTGGAAAGAATTCACAAAGGGATTAAACTGTTTAAAACACATGCTCAAAGTAAGCCGGATTTTGCCGATGTGTTTATGTGGATTCAAAAGTCATAAATAATCTACGAAATGGAGGAGACCGATCTGATCGGAGCAACTGTGACAAATAATCCAACTGAAACCGGCATGGACAATGACTATGTTTTAAAAATGCGCTTATCCAGACAATCCTGGTGTAGACACTTTACGGGCAGAAGAAACATTTATATTAAAGAAAACATTTCTGTCTTGTTATGCCTTTAATAGGTACTAACTTGATTTTTTTATTAAAATTAATTAATCAATTATTTTTTATATTTTATTGTAATGTAGAGACAAGGCTTTTAGCGACAATCATGTATTGCGTTATTATATGTAAAAAAAAAGAAAAGAAAAAAGTCTAAATATTATATTTGGCCTCAAATCATCTGAGGCCTGGCGCACCCCCTGCAATCTTTGGTGCACCCCCAAGGGGGGTGCGCCCCCCAGGTTGGGAACAACTGCTGTAGACTGTATGTATCTACAAGTTATGTTCTACTTTTAAGTACTCCTGCTGCTGTTACATTCTGCAGAGGTTCCCTTAGTTCACCACAAGAACCTATTCGTCATTTGGTGGGAGTTTTTTAATCACAAGGCACCTTACGATGTATGAGTACTGTTAGTATAGGTGGCCCAAGTGAGCAATGACCCATAGCATGGCCATTCTGTGCTCATTTATCATTGGGACACACAAAGCAGGGAGTAACACTGGCAAAAAAAAATCTGGCTGCTTTTTTTGCTGGAGTCATGCACTGCAGGATCAGAACAACTGCAGGGGCATTTCATTTTAATGTGTACATCAATGTGTAAAAACACCTAATTAATATCAGACCCTGTCCACACATCAGCTGGAAAGATTTCCATCTGATCTCTCTTTTTTCAACAATTGGATTTTACATCCTGTCTTAACAGTGTCAAAGTATTGCTTTGGTTTTACTTTTCACCAAGTGTTTCTTGCTTTAGAAGTGCGATACACAGCAAATGTATTTATAAATGTACTTATTTGTTGATTAATACAAAGGTTCATATTGATTTGCACTAGGAGCACAGGTCTACTGTATGCAGTGGGTGTTTTAGATAAGGAAGCCATAACGTGACTTATGTTTACTTTAGGCTTATAGTATGTTTTGACCTTATGTGACTACACAGCAAATGGTCAATAATGAATTCAGTTTTTCAGGGGTTAGGGGTTAATTGCTTTTGAATGTACATATGATTAACTTCCTGTAGGATCCTGATAGTTAGATCGGGGCATGTGACAGGAGCATACAGCATACAGCAGACCAGAGACTGTCGTCTATCGCAGTTCAGCTATAAGGCTTTACGCTTTTAGAAAAATAAAAAAGGAGTTGCTGTGGATTTTTGTAGTTGTGACATTGCAATTTAAGTCAAAGGGCAGCAAACACTTACTCGTTTAGTCAAGGAAGCATTGACATTGAAAATCAGCTAACATTGATTAGCCCAGCAGAACATAAATATATGCTAAGCGACAAACACACATTCGGGTGAATGAATGAACGAGAGTGAAAAGTGGTCACTTCAAACTGTGATAAAACAAAAACACAATACCATGGGCAGGCAGGAATAATAGATCATTTGTTTACCTTCGTATCATTACTGTTTGGTAAGTGTGTCACACTCTTTCCTCTCCCCGTTCTGAGGAGCTGTTACTCCATGGTTCCGCAGAGAGAAACTGGCTGAAGTGCGACCCCTGGCGGAGGAAGGGAACACAATGGAGCAAAGCGACGGAGCTCTCCATGGTACTGACATACTGGCAAGTGTTTTTAATTACACAAAATAGATAATTGTTTGAAACCAACAATAAGTATGTTACTGAATTCATTTTAATACATTGTTGTTCATTTATGGGTGAGCGCATTGTCTTCCCAGAATAAACCTACTGTAATCATAAACTGACCTTTAAAGCGATGCAGCTTCAAACACCTACATGCTCCTGGTAACCTTTCATTCCATTGTTGTTAACTGCTTGTCAAATGGTGAGGAAAAGCGTTGTTAAACAGTAATTGACCATCAGACAACAGCTGTATAGTCAGTGGCTTTTCATGCTTTGTTGCCCAAGGTCAAGAATAACATTACAAAGAATGCAAAGGTTAAAATAAAAGCCATGTTTTTTCACAGACTGTTGATATACAGTATAACCCTTCACTAGAAAATAATGTTTACTCCACCTAAGCATTACACATTATGCATGCAAAAACAACCTGTTTCATTGTATAGTTAACGCCGTTAGTGCTCAGCCAATGAACTGTAGGTTTGAAGCCTTCTGATTGTTGGTTCATTAATGAATTCTCAAGACTTTAAGGTAAGAATGTGTCTGTCTTTGTGAAGAAACAAATACTGTCATATATCTGGGCTAAAAGCTGTTATAGTCTCGCCTGCTCAGTCTGTATCAGGTAAAATGAACAAATCTTTTCAGACCAGGAGAGAGGGGTTTGTCTCACCCAATAATCTAACAGTGATTTATTTTGGGCAGGAGCATGAAGGAACATTTTATGGTTTGGATTGTTTTGGAGTGTAGTATTGATGTATACCTTGGTTAATTTGGAGGAGGGTTATTGCTTGAACTATCCAATATCTCAGGGTTAAAATGTGCTTTTTCAAAGTTCAAAGTGTTTTCGAGTAGCTTGAGAATACAGGTGCTATAAATGGAGACTCAAAGAAGCAGCTTGTGGAATATGTGGAAAACATTTACAACAACAGAACACAAAGTTCTTCCGTGATGCAACAGTGAAATGTTCCGTCTGTCCTGAATGTTTGCTAAGCTGATTGCTTGGTAGCAGGAAAATCTGCTCAATACACCATCTTCCTCCCGTCACTGCTCTGCTGTAACTTAGCTGGCAATACCCATGGAAACAGCCAATTGGGAGTATGTGTGTGTAAGTGACTGTGTGTGCATGTAAATGTGGTCCTGCATGTGTTTGTCTGCATGTGTGTGTGTCTGTGCTATCTTTGTTATCCTCTTAACTCACTTGAGGTCTGCCTTCTCTCTCTTTAATCCCCAGAACACACACCCACACCCAACAGAGGAAGAAGCATGGGGGAATAATTGAAGAATATACGGCCGTTAGAAAAAAAAACAGTGATTCTGCCACAGGGTGAAAACTGAAAGACTCAAATCTGTGAGGGGGAGTATAGCTGCGCTTTTCGGGCTCTTGTTAGGAGGATACAGCTGGGAAAACATCATACTGTAGCAGCTGCTTCATTAGATTATGAAAGAATTATCACTGAGAGAAAATGAAAAAAAATTCACAGTTCAAGTTTCTCCTTAATTAAAGAGAAACCTTTTTGTTTTCATTTCCCAAATGTAGCCTCACTTTCACAGGCACTTAGTGGAGGGAAACAGCTAATAAACTGAACACTAGAATGACCAGCAGGTTGAAATCAGCAACGTGTTGCAAAAACATCAAAAGTAAATATTCAGGAGGAAGTATTAGGCATTGCTCTTTGATTGAATGGCCAAGACAAATAGGTTGGAAAATACTGATTAAGAAGCTGTTCCATGTGTTGAAATAATTGTGTGTGTGTGCTTAAGGTGTTGTTATCCTCTAGCTCCAATAATAAAGTAATCATTGCTTTATTTTATAGGATATGTGGTTAGCTTTTACAGCCATGCCTAGCCATAGCTTGGGGTTTATTGATTTGATTGAAAAGCTGTATTCTTGTAGAGAAATGCAATCACTGACAGCAAATTCTCAGTTTCAGCTGCCCTTCCTGGGGCGTCAAAATCAATCATTTCCCCTCTTAACACCAAACACAAATTCACACACATCTCAGACAGATCCCCTCCCTGTACTCCCTCCAAGCTCTCTCTTGCTTCTTCTCTAGCTCTCATTTACTGCCATGTCAAGGTTGCAAAACAAGGACATATTTTGCCTGAAAGCGGCGCTTTATCCTTCAAAATAAATGTGTACAATGTGTCAAGCTTAGCAGAAAATCTATTTAAAAACAGCCATGATTATCAGAATGCGAACTAGATTTAATTAAATACATTCATTCTGACTTTGGGTGTATTCAGTGTTGTTTAGATACCTTTATATGAACTTATTCAACATCTACAATCGATTGTGTTTTATTTTGAAAACCAAAAACCGGAACCTGTGTTGTATCCACGATGATAGAACGTGTTTCCCTCTCTTTCTCCTCACAACACCCAGTGGCTGTCTCTCTACCTGTCCCTCGCGCACCCGAACAGTTGAAAACATCCTCGCGCTCGGGAGGGGATCTAGGATTTGGAACGAGAAGAGGAAGGGAGACATCACACACTCTGCTCCACCACCATGCAGATACTTGGGCTGCCTTTTTTGCTGTTATGCCTCATCTGGGGCCACTCCTGCGCTCTCGGCGGAAAAGGTAGGAACATGAGAAAGAAAAAGATGAACAAAAAAACAATTTGTCTTCGAAATGTTTGACTACGTTTTCGCGTTTGAGTTGCACAAGTTGGAAAGTCGGCACTTACCGTTCGTCCAACAACTTCATCGCCATTTAGGTGTTTTTGTATCTTTCTAGTTAAGTTTTCCATAATATTCAGTAGCTTGCTCTCGTGCATCAATGCATAGTTACCGTAGTTACTCAAAGTTAAAGCAAAGATGGACAGGGCAATTAGCGGGACAGGTGTTCAGCTGGGTGGGAAGTTGGAGCTTGTTATAACGCTACGTAGTTTCACTGTAATGTGTTGTGAGAGGGAGTATATTAAACAAATTGATGAATGATCACCAAGAGGCTAATATACAAATAAAGAATAATTAAAATGACAAATTAGTGGATTACTTGTTAACCCATTACTGTTCCCTACAACCCAAGATAACGTCGTATGCTCCTAAATGTATTCAAATGTGACATTACATAAGACAACCAAAAGCAGCAGGTACTCACAAATGTCCAATTTAAACTGTTGTTATTTTACTTTAATAAGAAGCATGATACTTAATATAGAAAAACATATTGGCTCAATAGTAATAACATCACCCGTAGAGGTTACTAGGAAACTATTCTTTACATAATATTATGACTTGGCAACCTATAGCATGCCCCAGTTGCTCTTGAAGATTAACACTATTAACATGACATTTATTGAGGATATCAGAGGTTTATGTTCCTGGTCATGACTGTCTGGTTGGCCAGTGATCTGGAGATGATTTCTAACTATGATAATCTATTAGTGCTCGGGGAGGGCAGCCACGGTCGGGGTGTAGCACTAAATCACATCCTCACCCTGTGATGCTCTCAAACATCACTTTCCCTCTCTCAACACACACACACACACACACACACACACACACACACACACACACACACACACACACACACACACACACACACACACACACACACACACACACCTAACTGGTATTGCCTATGAAGGGCAGCAGCGGTTTACAGTGGTATTAATTGGGTCTCTGGAGTGAGAGCGCGGGGCTGACTGGCTGTCTGCGCTTAACCAAAAATAATTTCCCCTGTTTATGAAAGACCTCCATATGGCCGGGAGCCAGAGGGAAGGCTAAGTAGGTTTCGACACTAAGTTTACAGAGAAGATCCTGTTTTGTGAAGTGTGAACGCAGCTTTGATTGCTACAGACAGTTGTCATCAGCTATGCAATGCGTAATCTGCTTGTCTCAAGGCCGAGTACATTGTTATCAAACTAGAGCTGCAATGAAAGACAGAAAATATTGCCTACTATTTTAATGATTAATAATTGTTCATGAAATATTGTGAAAAATGCTGTTTTCAGCCATATTACATTTAAGGTCTTTAGGTTTTGGACAGACAGGAGGTAATATTCAGGTTAATCAATCATGACATAATGAAAACATCCCTATACCAAATATTTTATGGAATGGATACATTTGATTTGATTATTGTCAGGAATGATAGTAATTTAATAAGATTTGATAAACCTGTGTATGGTTAAGAAAAGCCACTTCCTCTTCACTTTCAAAAAAAGGAATAGATTAAGGCCCTGGATGTTTGTTGGCTGTATAACAAAGACACACAGCGAGTTTTTGATTTTGCATTTACAAGCTCTACAAGCTCAGCAGAATACAGTACGTACACGAGACAAAGGCTTGCCGCTGAATACCTTTGCATAAGTCAGGGAATAGACCTGAGCAGATGAATGCAACACAAAACAAGAAGATTTGAAAGGGGTGTTGAAAGCAAAAGAAAGGGAGAAAAAAAAAATGGAAAACAAGATGAGATTTATGGGTGTCTTTCAACAGAGCCGTCTAGCTGCATTATCCTCGCTGGAACATAAATCGTGAAGGCGATGTGGAACGCAGCAACATAACTCAGGTTTTCCTCGTCGGTGCAACGACTGGTGAAACAATGTCTGGCAGGAACGGCTGGGCCCGTCCTGTCACTCTTTTCCCCTTTACTATCATTTATGCCCTTTATTCTCTTTTCTTTTCTCCCATGCTTCTCTCTCTCCCGTTGACTCTCCCATTGTTTGTTGCTTTGCTCTGTTGAGCTGATGCTATTCAGAGGGCAAATGTCAGAGGAAGGGGATCGAGAGAGAGGCGAGAGCAACCTCATTCTGATTTCCAGAGCTGCTTCTCTTTCCCTCTCCACTGCCCTGGATTCTATTCCAAAGTTGTATGGGCTTAAGTGAGTTGTGTAAATGGTGAGGCAGTCCTCTTTCTGTCTGTCTTTGTCTCATCTGGAGAGTGTCACATTCCCACTCCATCCCAGGTACCTCTATTACCAACACCTTCCTCCGTCCCATTTATATTCTCTGCCTTTCCCTGTCCTGATTTTCTCCTAATTTCACTCCCATTGTTCCTTTTCTCCCTCCAAACTCCCTCCATCGCAAACCTTCTCCTGTACTTTCTCTAGTTTATTTTTTAAATCTCTAATGCCTCACAGAGTAGAACAACATGCACGTTTGTGAAATGTTAAAATGTCTGCCTGAATGTGGGCAATTGTGTTGAAAAAGACTGAGCACTCTTGTGCTTTGTGCTGACGAGTGTGGAGGAATTTCAGGTCTGTGTGCTGCCGGGCGTATATGCAAATGAGGGTAGAGATGCAAATTATTGTCCTAATTTGGATGTTAATTACTCAGTATGGCTAATTATAATATGTCTGATGAGGCGTAAGGTGGAGGAGAGGAGGAAAATGGAAAGGCTGCCATAGGATGATGTATGTGTGGGGATGAGATAATGTGTGTGTGTGTGTGTGTGTGTGTGTGTGTGAGTGAGTGAGAGGTGTTTATGAGTGTGTTGTGTGTATGCCAGTATCACAGCAGCTGGTCCAATGGCTCCGTTGGGGCCTTCTGGTCAGCAATGCTCAATATGTGGTGGATAAACATTGCATGCAGTGCTGACTTCTGAAACACACACACACACACACACACACACACACACACACACACACACACACACACACACACACACACACACACACACACACACACACACACACACACACACACACCAGGTTAATATACATAACTACTGACAGTTGGACAAACAGCCATTAGATCCAACACTGCACAGTGGGAGCTGTTTTACAAGAAACATAAAAGCGATGTGAAGGATCGAGGTTAGAGATGACAGTCTCCCGTTATCGTACTGATGCATTGACACGTCCAACCTCTCGGACACTTCTGTATTTTAAAAATATCCGAGTAAACACTTGTGTGTGTCTTACAAAGACACTCACATACTTCCCCTTCAGCAGGTGGCAGGCTGTCTGTGAATGACTGAGCATGTGCTGTGCAGGAGACAGAGGGAGAGTAGAGAACCAGTCATTGGAGAGGATGGAGCAAAAAATAGGTAGAAAAAGAGAAATATGCTGTGCGCGCATGAGTGTCTGCATCATTTCATCATTACCCTTTTAAATGATTTGTATTTCTTGATTTTCCTCTATATGCTTTAGGAACACAAATGACACATCCGGAAAGTTGGAAAGAGAGAATGGGACAGAGAATGATAGAAACCTTCGTAGACCATTACCCTACAAAAACATTAGAGCTGTTGAAGCAACAATAGATATGTTTTGAGCGCAATGACCGATTGGACCAAGCTGGCCCTGTCGGTTGTAGTCTGGGAATTGAGACTTTCGGAAAGTTGTTAACTTGAAAATCATTGTTTGTATGGTATTTGTGAAGATGACCTAACTAGTGTGTTGCCGAGGGAGCACAGATAAATAAACCGCTCACTTTAATGTGAAATTTGCTGTTTAAAAAGTCTCACCTTTTCTTTGTATACTTTACTGTCCATGTTGCCAGATGCCGTAAATGCTATGCTCCGTTTATGGCCTTTTCAGCGCAACCACTGCTAGGTGCCATCCATGTTGGTTTTGGTCGATATGTGAATTTCTTGCAGGATTTGCGAGGATTCAAACTGCCTGAACTCAAGCCGTCGTTCTGACCAGTTGTTCTGTATGTTGTCATAAGGTTCATGGCTCTTTCTCACTGGGAATGTTTGAAGAACAGAGCATAGGTTGTTGTATTCCATTCAATGACAAAAGGCTTCACTTACGAAATGTTCTTAGCCTTGGGCTTTGTTCAGATACAGCAAATGGATTTTCATGATATTAGTGCAGTTGCCTGAGGTGTACATTTAGTAGTTTCATCACCTCGCCTGAAAACCTCTATTCCTCACGAGTAAAGGTTAATTCCATTTTTCTCCATGAAGTCCAAAGACTCATTTGTTGACATTTAGCTTGCTTTGTATTGAGATTAGAGTCAACACATTGAAAATAGCCTTTGTGTTGGCGGCAGATCCGAGGGCAAATACTGCAGATTTTGTGTTTCTTAACTTTCTTCCTTGTAATCATTTGTTGTCTTCATATTAGCATGCAAAAATACAAATGTATTTTCAGAGTTGATCTGAATAAAGCAATGTTCAGTAGCAGCTATCAGACTGAACTAAGGCGCTGTGTCTCTGCTGTGTCTCTGCTGTGTCCCCTGAGCCAGTGTCATTGCAGTGTTATCTATCGTCTCTATATACACAGGCCAAGCAATCCTTTATTAAACAAGAGGCCGCGGTCTGTTGTGCCTCGTGATGAAGCCTGAAGTTATGAAGACATGCACCGCTGCACACTGTTTTAATTATAATTCCAATACAAACGTATTAGCCTTCTGTGTATTTGTTAACTTAATAATACATTGTGTTAACGTTGTAGTGTGTGTTCAGCCAAACATAAGAAACGCGCACAGATCCACACACACACCCCCCCTCACACATCGATTGAGTCATCTCCTTCATCTTCCTTTCAACTTGTCCTGTGTGGGATTCTTGTAGTCAGTCCAAAGCCTCACTACGCTTTGAAATGGCTTTATATTTGATTTTTCTTTTTGTATCGCTCCTCCAGTAGCAATCATGAAAGACACATGTCTTTTCCATCATGAGATA